CTTTATGATCAATCAAGGACAGTACAACTTATTTCAGCCCATCAAAGTCGCAGACCACGAAATTCTTCACCTTCAGATGATTTTCAAAAAATTGGTGTCAATATAGGCCCCGGGGTAAGTTAGGTCATTTATGTTCTATGATTCATTCATAAATAACTTAAAGCTGGGTAGAAATACATGTCGGTTCATGTTATCACACTTCGTCACCATAATGAAAGAGAATCAGCATAAAAAGCTGCACAGTCAAAATAATATCAAAAGTAGTTGAAGTGGAAAATATAGGAGAATATTGAAACTCAAAATCTAGAGTGGGCTTCAAAGAGTGAATACTTTTATTCCATTACTACCTACATTCGGGCATGCCACTTAAGGTCTTCAACCATAGATAACGATTATCTCACAGCTTAACCAAGAACTCTGTATCTTTCTGCACAGTTCAGAACAATAGGCAGTAATTTCATGGACAGATTTTATTTCGTGGCCCAGCAGATATCATACGTTTTTGTTTTCAACGTAATCCTATGCTGGCTACTGTTTCACTTCGGGTTATTCATTGCTTTAAGTAACGCATTTCATAACTATCTCAATTGGTGGTCGTTCACAGCACTACCACTATATTATAACACTTACTGAAGGAATCAAGGTCAGTCTGTTGGTGGCCCTACTTTAATATCAATAATTTTTTGTTAATTTAGTACCTCAGCTATCTAAAAGACGGCGTGAACCATTCAAGGCGTTACTAAATATAATTTTTCCTCTTAGCCATTATCGATTGCAAATAAATTATGTGACTCATCTACCAGGTTCAAATTTATGCACTTGGCTTCGATTCATACATTTTGTTGAAAGGCTAGTAATCCTCTGTCACTCAGATGGTAATGGAGTAGAGTTCAGATCTGAGATCTAATGGTCGGAAACCATGTTTTAATTACTAGACCACTGCTTCCATAGCGACTGTGCTTCAGAGTTTGTTTTTCAAACAATAGAGTAGATAGACCAACAAAGCTTTTCCTAATTAAATAAAGCAAGAACAAATATTGATGCAGAATAGTATGAATTCATAATATTTCGAGGTTTCTCGTCAGCTGCTTACAACCAAATATGTATTAGAATTTTACATTGAGATAAGAAATAGTGTGAAACAATTGACATAAATGAATGTAAATAACTGGAATGACAAAGGAATACTATTCTGCATCAATATTTGTTCTTGCTTTATTTAAATTCATAAAGGGAACTAATTGCATGAAATTTTCCTAATTAATTTTATCTGTTGCGCTATCGGTTGTATTATTGCTACTATAGTCCCCATATTTTCAAACATTGATCGAATCTGTTAGTACTTTTAGTGTGAAAAGTTTGTATTGCTATTTAAACTAATAAAGATTATTTCTTGCTTGAGTTGTGAACTGTTATGCTCGTTGTCTTAAACGATAACTCGGTAAAAAGGAATCAGTAAAATGACCGTCTAAAAATTGGGAATAACTATAGTAGGAGTCATAAGAAGAACAATGGAAAATAATGTATTCGGATAATAATATGTGTAACTTGAGTGAAAGTTAGCTCAGTAATCTAAACATCAGACCACCACCATTAGTTCTCTTTTTTGATTCTGAATTGGATTGTCAGAGTAACATTTCCAACTAATAGATAATGAAATTTCATTTTTACATTATTCTGGAGAGAAATAAAGTTTAATATTGGATTCGCAGTTATTTCGAACTAATATTAGCTGGAAACTACTCTAATACCAAGAAATATTAAAGAGCTGTTTTGTACTACTTACGAACCTCTCAATAGTGCATGCTAGTTTTCTTATTTCATGACTATATTACTTATTAGCAATCAGGGATCACCCCTAGTTTTTGTATCTCATTGGATAAATTAGTTATCAACAAACTGTTACTTCGAAAGTTGGATGCAAGTGAACTGGACAGGTACTGTAATTTGATCCTACCCTTGAACCCACGTGATCGCTCATTCTCAGACACAGTCCAGACATTAAGCCAACATTTCGGCGACAACTCATCATTGTTTAATACTCGTTATCGATGTTTGAAACTAATTATGAACGAAGACGATGATTTTCTTACACATGTGGGTATCCTCAACCGTGAATGCGAACGCTTCCGGTTGAAGTCTTTGTCTGAAGACCAGTTCAAAGCCCCCATCCTCATTTGCAGCCTCCAGTCCCAAAACTTCAGTGACATAAGAACACGGTTACTGTATCGATCGGATCAAGATCCTAAACTTACCCTTAGTGACATGGCTAATGAATACCAACGCCTCATTAATCTGCAACGAGACACGACTATGGTTCAGAGTGGTGGGTCTAGTCGATCTGAAGTACGAGTAGTGCAACAGACACTTAACCAGAATAAATGTGCCTCTGCTACACCCAGTCCGTCCCACCACAGCTCAGTCCGACAGACTAAAATGAATCCCCCTGCTCCTTGCTGGCACTGTGGTGCATGGCACTATGTACGAAACTACCCATTTAGGCAACATCGATGCAGGAAGTTTAAGGTCTTCGGTCATAAAGATGGGTTTTGTCTTAAGAGGAAGCCAAACCGATCCAGAAGTACCAAAAAGACTGTTCCTAAATCCTGTACCACTTCGTTGAGCCTAGTATCTTCTTGTCAAATCCCATCCCTGGGGTGAGGGGAAATTCATTACTCTTAATATTAATGGACATTTGTTTAGATTGCAGATTGATACGGCATCAGATGTTACCATCCTTTCACGTAAAGTTTGGACCGAAATGGGCGATTCAAGTGCGTTTCTATCATTGTATAAATAAGCTTGATTTATGTGCTTAGTGAACTCGCATTTTCTGCGTGCTTCTCTACGCCTCATCAAGACTTCTTGATCAACACATCTCCCCTTTTTAATAACCTACTTTCCTGGGGTCGACCTGCATCTTGATTGTTGTTCACCAGTGTTGGAGAGGACACCTTCTGGAACGGAGATTGGCTTGTTTTTGAGCTTTTTCTCGTGATGGGGCTACCGGCAATTTGAAGGTATCAGGCAGGATGTCAAGGGGGAGAGTTACTCCTGTTGATGGGCGGTTTGGGGCTAGCTGTTTGCGTATCTGATTCTGATGGCGTGACCATCTTTCGCCTCCTAACTCTACTTCGTACATGACACGGCCTACTCTTCTGACCACTCGTGCTTCTATCCATGGACCACGGGTTGCTCTGTAGTCACGGGCAAACACAGGACATCCCACTTCGTACGTGGCTTGCTTTACAGACTTTGTCTGTACTGGTGTTGATGCATTACTTGAATGCATTAGGCTGTGAATCGTTTTCAGTTTTCTTCCCATCAGGATTTCTGCTGGAGACTTTTGCTCGTACTTGCCTCGTACTGCATATTGTAATTACCTTCGCTTATTAGGACAATTAGAATGTAAAGTTACTTTCCGAGATTCATCGTTTACTAGGGTATGTTTTATAACTCCAGCTGGTCTAAATTTACTTGGTTTAGATTGGTTCGACCAGCTAAAATTAGCTGATGTCCCATTGAATATCATATGCCACCTGATATCACAACCACATGACCCTGAAGCATATACGAGAAAGCTAGTGACGCAGTTTTAGTCTATTTTCCAACCTGGCTTGGGTCGGTGTTCTGCCATGAAAGCAACACTTCGGTTGAAACCTGCGGCTAAGCCTGTAATGCGTACTTTCCTGGGGTCGACTTGCATCTTGACTGTTGTCATACTGGTATGAATTGTAATTAAATAAATCTAACCTATTAACTGCATAGTTCTTATTGCTTTTGATTAAAGAATTTGGTGACTTTTATATATTGTTTTGCAAATATAGTACTTTTTTAAAATCCATCTGCTATTTGTAAATGAGGTTATGGTTTGGATGGGTTCGTAAAATCCTACATTTCTATGGTAGTTTTGTTATCCAGTAGTTGAAGTAGAGTTCTCCGAGCGATCAGGTTAAGGCTTCGTGTATATTTAATTAGGTTTATTTAACCTGTTCATGGTTTTCGATCTAGGAAAGATATGGCTTATATTTAGCTAAATGTCTAAACGTATACATTAAAGAAGTCAATATATACTTTTATTTCATATCCTTTTTGATGAAAATGGTGAAATTTGTAGCATTTCAGTTTTCATTCGATAATTTCATGCTGCATAAATGTCACTCAAATAAACTTTTCCTAATGTCTGTGTAAACTCAGCGTAAGATCGTGGTGCAGGTTTTAGATGGTTTAAAATGTTCATATTTCTGTTATGTTTCTTGCTATCAGATCTTTTAATTTTGGTATTATTTCAAAACCTCACCGGAAGATTTAGATGTCTTGTCTAAAACCACCGGTCTAACTTTAACAGTACCCGCTGAAAGTGAAGACACATGGAGGTTTTCAAATTACACAGTTGTTGTTAACTACCTTAGCTATATAAGGTAGTATAATTAACTCCTGGCAATCATTTTCAAAAATCTTATAATTTTTCAGACATAATTCAATTTATAAATGTAATTAACGCTTATTTGAGAGTTATTTTAATATATGAGGTTTTTTCAAAGTGTTACGTACTAGTTTCATTGCACTAACTAACAAAGCTATGTAGATTAACAGTACTGTTAACTTTAATGAGACCTTATTTTACGGAATAAAATTTAGGTCTATGTTTGAGGGTGATATACCTACAACACTCAGCAGTAAATTCGTGTCATTAAATTTTAATATACTCAAAAATCAAACCATTCAAAGTAATACATACAGTTGAAATCCGTTTCTCTTATTGTTCATTTAGACTATTTATTCTGCATTTTGTTATATTTTTGTTTTGGTTGGTTTAGTTGTATTGTTGATTAGTTGAGATTAAAATATCTGTTGAACGATTTGTTCATATTTAGCCTTAATTAAATGGCTTGACATGCACACTGTTCACGTGGTATGTGACCAATCAGGTTATTTTTGTGTGTTTTATGTAAGATTTATTCTATAAATGTATATCCGGAAAACAAAATTGAGTAAATCTTTAGAGTAATTTTGTGCCAGTAAAATTACATTGATATTCATTCAGACTTATATGACAAGAGGGCGTGGAAGTGTAGTATTGCTACTATAGCCATCCCATCGTGATAAGATCCTGAGATTGTATATATTGTCAATGTCCTGATAACCGAATCTGTTGGTAAATCTATACGATGGTAGGTAAATCATGCTTGTTTATGTTCCGTGTTTTATCTTTAAGTGTGTTCTACTAAATATTTCTACTTGAAGTAAATTTTAGTTAATTTGTATAAAGTAAAGTTTTAGGTCTTTTATTTCATCTCACGTTTTAAACCAAATGAGTTTGCTCAAGTTCTGTAGGGGAACATTTCATTTTTTTCACAATTTAGGTTTATTGTTAGTAAACTTCTCTCCCTCCCTTATACAACAACCAATGAATATTAAACAGTTTTTTTATTGAATATATGGTGGTAAATATTGTTTTGTATTGTCAACTGAGTCAGAAGTAGTAACTAATATTTTTCACTGATTGTCGGGTTTAATCACCGGTGTTGGGTTGATGGTAGAGACATTGATTATTAGCTCTAAACTAAGTGTTGTTTTAGAAATTGAAGCATTCAACTTTCAGCCAGTAGGTTGCAGATTTTTACCCCGCTTTACTTAATTTGGTTTGGTCAGCAAGGTACTATTGTAATGACTAGGGACTTCGGCAGGGGAAATCAGCTTTATTAAGCAAAATTACACAGTATTCTTGTAAAATATAAAAACAATAAATTAAATACACTATTTGCACATCTTCCTTGAATTGTCCCTTTCACAAACTACATCGTTCTTCCGTTCCTGTTCTTATTTCCATTGCTTTCCGTTTTCCTTTCTCTTTTTTCATTTTCCTCTTCGGTCAGTGTGACTTCTACGTCGAATTCCTGATACACACCACAGTTTCACTGACCCCCCTAATGTAAACACTATAGCTCAAATCTGAACACATAAACTTATTACATGAGTTGTATGATTATTATTAAAATAAAAATAATTATCTTAAGCTTTGCTGCTCCAATTCCTATCAATTCTTAGTGAAAACAAACTATGAATATTATATTTATTATTTTTCCTGTTATTTTTTAATTGTGTTCATTATTTTAATCATCATCATCATTACTATTATTTCTTCCTTCACTTTAATATGTTAATATTTGTCTCAATTCTTATTATGATAGTGTCCGCCTTTTCTGTTAAAGGAGAGAAACATGTTCAGTTTTAAACGATTATGGACGTTCACAGGTCCTGGATTCTTAATGAGTATTGCCTATCTGGATCCTGGAAATATAGAGTCAGATTTGCAAAGTGGTGCAATCGCTAATTATAGAGTGGGTTATTACCATGTTTATAAAATTTGTTCTGATTGATCTTACTATTGAACTAGGCTATTTAAAAAGAATTAAATATGATTTGTCATTATGAAATCAAATCCTATTGTAAATCCTTAGAGAATATATTGTGGTAGATAGTTGTTTTCCTGTTGTTTGAGAGAGATTGGGGTTATTGACACTCCCAAGGTACCTGAACTTGTAGTTTAAGTTATCGACACTTACTGCATTCAGTGGGTAGTGGAATAATTGAGCAACTGAATGAACGTATACGGGATCTGTAGCTCGTCTGTTTGTAAAGAATCATAATACTGTCCTGTTTCTCAGTTTTCAATGTATGTGATATGATCTCATTTTTTGACAAACTGATTGACGCTTGAGTATCCTAACATCTTTAAGCTACATCTTTATGTCGAATAAGTTCCGTTCTTTTTGGAAAATCAATAAAATATTGAAATTTCGACTTATTTTTGGTGAAACTGTGGCTTCTCAACTTTTAAACATTTTTTCATGAAAGGAAATTACTTCGCTCAATTCGTTCCTTCTTTATTTGCCAAATGTCAAAACGGGAATTTTCACTATTTTAAATATGTGATTATCTTTAATCTGTACTTAGATCATAGGGTTTATTTTTACTACGTCTACCTTGATTCAGTTGACAATGAATCAAAGGCTTGCTGGTACTTTGTAATTGGTCGTTAATCTTTGTCTACGATGTGCACGACGTGTTTCTATTCCAGTTACTGTTATCGGAAACTAGACCCTTTATTAACACTTGTCAGTGTTTGTCTCTGTTTAGTCGCGATTGTTTACTTACTGCTTCTTTAATATGTTCAAGAATATTTTATGTTTCACGAAAGTCATGTATTATAAAATCGAATCTTTCTTATTGTTTTATATAATTTTTTGTTATTTTAGTCGAGACTGCAGGCAGCTCATCGTTTTTCTGCAGTCTCTGATATAATTATTATATATGTTAGATGGTTAGCGAACTACCTTTTTATTTCTAAGGATGATGTTTGTGGTTGAAAGAAAATCTGAACATTGACAGGATTCAAATATATAAATTTCAAATTACCAGTCTAAACGTCTGAATTTGTTAATTCAAGTTTTACCGTAACATAACTTATTTGTTAACAATATTTATTGTGAGAAATTTGGCGGGTTCATTTTAAGTACCGTGTTTTTCTTTTCTAACTGACATTCAGCTTCTATGGCTTTTACTCCTAGCTACATTGATGGGATTATTTCTACAACGTCTGGCTGCTCGTTTGGGTGTAGTGTCAGGTAGACATTTAGCAGAAGTATGCTATGATGAATATCCTACGCCGGCACGTATTATACTATGGATTATGGTTGAGGTTGCAATTATTGGGTCAGATATGCAAGTAAGTTTTGTTTATTTTGTTACGAATTTTATTAGAATTCTCTGCAGTATAACATGTCATTATCATTTTTCCACTTATTGTGCAACAGTCCACTACCTACAGTGGTTAGTCATTTGTTTGAACGAGTACCTAAACTCAAAAGTGTTTGATTGTAGATCTCTATAAAAAATTGTTCATATTGACACTCAAAAATACATAAGTTTAGGTTTTTATACTGCTCAGTGAGACAAAAGAGTGATTGTTTAGCGGGTTAGGTATTTGAGTTTCAACTGCATGCTCATACCTAAACCCTGTTATAAAGAATACGTTTTCGAGTTTGTGACTGTCAAATGTGGTACAAAACTCTCGTGTATTTATAGTTTTTTCGTAAAAGCGATGTCATCATTATAGTCATCCAATCTGCATAAAAGGGTTTTTAGCGTTTTCCCAATAGGGAAGCTACACGGAGATATTCTGAAATGTTCTTCCAAAAAATGATTAGATGGAATGTCTTCAGCTCTTTCTGAGCTTCTTAGAGCTTCCTCAAGTTCACCCGTCGACCGTCCACACAGTAATGAAAAACACATTTGGGCAAAATGCTAAACTACTGATGATGGGGGGGGGGTAGTATTCAATATAGTTGGTTGAATGAAAGCTGTTCACAAGACTTAATTGTTGATGTGAGCTTTCAGAAGATATAGGAATGTAGTTCTCTTGGCTATATCCATAAAACGATAGACTCTCTATTGATATTCTGAATAAAATGATTCAAAATTAATCACAAAAGTCCTAGTTTACTCTTTCTACGTCTGAACATTCAGTTTTGTTTTAAAGAATAACGGTAAGAATTTGACTATACAATTTCTTAGCTTAATTTACAATATATATATCGTGTTTATGTATTTGTTGAACCCTATGAATTAAATGGTACGATTGTGTTTTCGAATTTTCAACATAAAGTTGATATAAAAATTAATATGTTTAAATGTTTTAATCTCAATCGTTGTTGTTAGCAAAGCAGTTTCTTGTGACCATTTTCTTCCTTTTTTGTTTTGTTTTGTTTGATTCTAGGAGGTGATTGGTACTGCTATAGCTATAAATTTATTAAGTTTTGGTTATATACCTTTATGGGCTGGTGTACTTATCACTATTTTGGATACTTTCACTTTTTTATTTCTTGATAAATATGGTTTACGTAAATTAGAGTTCTTTTTTGGACTTTTAATAACTATTATGGCTGTGACATTTGGTTATGAGGTTAGTTAATATTATATCTAAATATTTTTAATTATCATTTGTTCTTATGATATTAAAAAAAATTCCCAAAGATATTTTTCAAGTAAAATTCCGAAAAGAATTTTGTTTTTCGAATACAGGAAAAAAGAAACTTGATTTATACCCCAAAAATAAAGTTTTGTAGCGAAATTTCTTATAATAATGATAATAATAAAGTTAGTGGGCATATCAGATTAGAACTTCTTTAAAACAAACCCACCGAAAGATCAATAGCGTAATACAATTTCTACTTTGTCCTATTTAGTTGAAAGGAATAAATGTAAACAAATTGGAAAACAAAAAAGAACAATACAGTATAGTTAACAGAAACATATAAACAGTCAATGTAAATAAAAACAAAACACTTTGATGAATATATCTTAATAAAAATAGGATATTTTCATTTTATATAACCATTTACTTCTAAGTATATAATGATAAATGGTTTAAACTATTTCATAATCAAAATTTTCACTTGTTAATTTGATATAATAGTCAAAGTTTTTGTATAACTATTATTTCCTAATTTAAAATTATACACTAAGTCCATTTGAAACAAATTTGAAACCTTGGGGATTCATTTATTGTACTGATCTACTAGGAATGTAAACAATTCCTTTTATTCATTTATGTATTTAGTATCATTAATAATTTCACTTTCATCTTTTTGAGATTTCATCTTTAACATATATTATTATGTTAAATATGTTGTTTCTTCTTTTTGTTTCTAACTAAACTTTATTGATATATGGTAGCGTTACTAGTGTAAATTTAGACCATTTGGAATTGAAATATAATGAATTCATGTTATTATACATATCTTGTTCTTATCGCTTTATTTAAATTAATCAAGGGATCACGATGTATGAAATGTCCAAAAAAAAGAAAAATACTATCCTCTACTGAGGTTTTTCTATTTGAACTTTCTCCAATGTTTAGACGAACACTCATCTATACATAAAAGACAATAGATATGAAGATAAGATTTATTTTTGTTCTGAAGAAATAGTTTACATGATTTCACGAAATATTAAAAATTCTAATTTCTATTCGTTGGGATGTCACAAATAAATCATTATTTTGTTACAAAGATTTCTAAAATTCTTACGAAAATTAATTAACTTCAATGGAAATAAAATCTTTCACAAAGGTTTCAGGTCTTATAATGAAAATCCGATAACTTATATCGTACATTTATAGACGAATCGAAACAATCTGATTAGAAAGGATAGGATTCAGTTATCTGTAGTGAGAATTACTGATGTATAGGTGAACAGAGGAAAACATTATCTCTTACTATTCTATCCATTTGTGTATTCAGTATTATGATGTTCTTTACTGTCACTGATACTTCTACTACTTTGGTATTCATCTTGATAATTGCTGATGCCTTGTGGAAACTTTGCCTGATACATGTATGTACCAAACTACGTTAATTGTGATTAATTGATCTAAGAGGTTTTCTCACCCGTAATGGCTGCTTTTGTCTTAATTATTTACTCACAGAATCATGTCATTAAAATAACTACATAATTTCCATATTTAATTTTTTTCCATTTAGTATATTGTTGTAAAACCCGATCAAGTATCTCTTTTACGCGGATTATTTGTGCCTTCTTGTCCTGGTTGTGGTTGGCCTGAATTGGAACAAGCTGTTGGTATCCTCGGTGCTGTTGTAATGCCTCATAATTTTTACTTACATTCTGCTCTTGTTAAATCACGTGATATAGATCGAAGTAATCCATTTTTGGTATGTTCTTAATTTTCTCTATGGTTTATGTTTCATTAAACATATATTGTTAATACTGTGTGGTTTGTCGAATGATTATCTTTACTTAATCTATATGTGTACTTTTCAACAAGGCATTTTCAAATTAATTTCTATGATAACCGATAGTATTTTTATATCAGTTGCTTTTAAGAACAGCAATCTTATCGGAATAATCTGAATTCAATTATTTGATGGATTTTATTCAGCTGCTTATAATCTAGAAATAACAGTATTAATTCTTTTAAAAAAATATTTACTATATATCTTGTTAACAGAAAACTCGTCATTAATGAAGGAGAATAAATTTATGCAATAAATGTATCAAAATTATAAGAACTGTTTATACAGTTGATTATTTATATGTTAACTGGTGTTAATAGTCTGGAAGGAAATTTTGAAACGTATGAAGTCAGGGTTTTAGAAATGATAAGTTAGTGACAAAAGTTATGTACTAATGACTTGAAGAGTTAAGTTGACTAGGAGAGTATAACATCAGGTAAGATGTAGTAACGATAAAAAAGAATTGATAATTGAAGGGGTGAAGTAAGATGTTACGCAATTAAGTGCTGCTGTCACTAATGATTGGAGACTCTTGGTGACATGGCTCAGAATCGATCACAATGGCGTCGGTGTATACACTCTCTGTCTTCCCTTAAACTAGGAGATTAAAATCGCTTCATATCTTTCTTTCTATGAACTAATTCTTTCTTCCTATACTATATCCTTATTGCAATCTTTCTTTTATATATTACCACCTCTGAATTAACTACTTTTATGAATTCGGTGTCCATCTTGTTGTGTTAATGAGGTATGGCAACTTGAACCGATGCATATATGTGCCTGGTCCCATGTTGTAGCTTACTGACTGACTGCTGTAAACTAAAGTCAGTAGGGCAATCTAAGACTGATATTAGTGTTCTTTTAAATAGAGAAATCCAGTTTAGGCATTTTGATAGTAATGACTTCGTGACGTGCACATTGATTGTTTTGAAGGATTTCTGAATGTAGAAATCGTGTCCAATATCAATAAGATGGTGGGCATTGACATCTGATTCTGTTTTTGGTTTGTCCGCTGGTGATTTACAATAGAGATGCTTGGGTTTTTGGTAGCATTGTATTCCCATTTCTCAGTAATTTCGGTTATGAATTTGTTCTCTTGAGCAACAATAGAAAACAAACTTGCTCATTGATTACCTACGCTCAACATTGATATTCAAGATTTCTCTAAAATATCTGGGAGTTAGTAAGATAGAGTAGGAGATAGAGCCAAGTTGCGTATGCTTGAGAAGTAGGATAGTTCATGCCAATTCGGGTAAACTTAGATACAGTCATGATTTCAGTTCGATTGTAAAAGTTCGGGTGCATAACACGGTGACAGTAGTACTGCTCTGTGCCTGTAAAACCTGGTCTCCGAATTGAGAATGTTCGGCTCCTCTCTGTTTCTGATTAACATTGTCTTAGACAGATTGCTTGGATTTGAGGCGTAACTGAACAATTGGTGATAAAATCTGACATTTCTTCGAGCACAGTAGAAACCATCAATTATTTGGTGCAGTCTTCAAACACGGACTTCATTAATTTCGTCCTGTTTCACATGAAATGTAGTGAATCTCCTGTACCAAGTTTTCTATGTTAAGACTCAGTAGGAAAGCGGATAAGTGATCAGTCAGTTGTGTGATGCTTCTAAATGAAGGATATAAATATTTCTACTTGCTAGATTAGATTCTATGGTTCCTGTAATTTAGTTGTTTGAAGTGTTACCAATACATCATTCAATATAGAAGATTGTTTTCTCGAAAAATAATAAAGTGTAATTTTGAGTCGAATGAAATTCGTCTAAGTAACATTTCTATTTGATCTGTATAATTTATTATTTTTTAAAATTCGTATTTCATTATTATGCAACCTTTCAGCAATTTGTTTCATATCACATTCAACGTAATTTTTTTGGATAGTGTACTTAATGGCCTATTTATTTATATTATTGTCAATAAATGATAATACCATAGGTTGTATGAATAAATGTTAAACATTAATATTTTTTAGCAAATGTGAATTAGTAAGTAGACTTTGATTTTAACGGTATCAAATATTAGAGTTTAGAGTTCGAAAAATACTATTTCACCAATAGGGTCAATATTATGTGCTGTTTTAGAATACTGCTATCGTTTTGTTTATGGGGTGGATGAACGGCGCGAGTGAGTGAGACGATAATCTCAGAATTGCAAAAATAGTATTAGGTGGTTAAGAACTAAGCGTGTAAATATTCAGTACTTTGTTTTTAAATCAGGTAATAGCATAGGGAATTGTAAGTTATCAATTATTATAAGGTACGAATTGCTAAGTTCACCGGAATTAACATATAGGTATCTTTTAATTATAACTTGTTTATAGTGCAAATAATTACTTTAAGTTAAATACACCAAAATGGTCATAGTCATTAGATTTTTCTTTTCGATTTCGATGTTCCAACATACGAGGATGAACAGATTCTATATTTCAAGCTTGTATTGGAATACTTTGTATTGAAACATTTAAAGTTCAGGTAATGTAAATTAATGTTAGTGTATATGAAGAGATCGAGGTAAATCAATGTTTGTCATCTTAATTATTCTCACCGATGCAGTTGTACATTTAGTCAGTATGTACTAACTTTTTTTCTGTTCATTTAAAGTATGAGGCTAACACTTAGGTTGATAGTTCCAGGAGCATTCTATTTTTCATTTGAACGTGATAAGGTTAAAAAGTTTACTTCACTTGAATTGTAAATTTTAGAAATCATCACAATTTCATTGATTTCAATACAACATTTAGCCATCGAGGTATTAATTAAAACAAATATACCTAGAGCAAAGACAACAACAACAACAGTAAATCAGTCATAAGATAGGGATATATTTTATGATTTTCGTGATTATAATGCTAATGAGTATCAAAATAAGACACCATCCATTTGGTGTGTATCTGTCATAGGAGTAGATGTTCGTTTGTGTGACCCTTTTTCACGTATAACGTTTTTTCTTGTGTGTCGAGTTTATATTTATACGCTTTGTTCATTATTTTTCTAGTTATACATAGAAAGTTAATTTCTAATTTCTCGTTGCTAGTGTCATGTTTTTGTTTAAAAATGTGTTTTTATTCTCTTGTGGGGGAGGTTGTTTATAGGTTCGTGAAGCGAACATGTATTACTTCATTGAATCAACCATTGCATTATTCGTTTCTCTTATGATAAATATATTTGTTGTATCAGTATTTGGTGCTGGGTTCTATGGTAAAAATGTTAAACAAGTGGTAGGTTATATTTTGTTTGAATATTTTCCTTATATATATCACTGATTTAACATCTTGTTTTTGGTATAGCCATCAATGTATTGATTTCACCAACGTTCCCGACCAACAACAATTTGAGGCCAGTTTCATACGGCTTTTTTAGGAGTAGTACTTATCATACTAACTTCATTATTTTCAAACCTAATCGGTGCCCTAAAAATCTGTGGGACAAATTAAGCTATACTATTCTTTAGGCCCGACCTTTTATAAACCACTTTGTCTGTAAAAAGTTTGTGTTACTGAAACGGTTGCTTATTCGTTAAAAACCCCATAATGTTGCCGTATCCTTATACAGTTTACAAAACGATTTCACCATGTAACATGAAACTTGATAATTGTGGTCTTACATCCATCTAGCTGATTTGCGCGGCATGGTAGGACCTCAGTAGACAAATATTAAAATCAGTGTAGTTTAGTTGGGCCGTTTTCAATGAACAGGTTTGACCATCATGTCGAATTAACGTCTACAGTTGGGTCTGACTTTCATTGGAAAGTTATGTATAACATTTCGATCATGGCAAATATAGCAATAATCATTCTTTTATTCATCATAATATTTATGAATTATAATAAGTTTATTTAGTGAGATTTAAGTGTGCTTGGTATTATATTGTTTAACAAGTTAGTATCATTCGGACTTGTAAAGTAACGTAACCATTGTTTACTATATCTAAATATTCAATAAATATGTACAACCTTATTCAGTAATAATAAGTCAAACTAAAGATTTTTTCCCTAAAAGTCGCCTAATAACAATTAGATTGTTTCAACTTATCACTTTACCATTAATTAAGTTAATGAACCCCATTTATCTTTGACAAAGTTACTCTGCCTGTTCTTAATTTCTGGTATGCTTTTTTAGATTGAGAATTGCACACTTGAAGGTAAAATTCCTGTTCGTTTTACAAATGCTGTAAGTTTTTTGTTTATCAATTACATTATTGTTATATTCCCAAGTTTATAGCTTTTAATGCAATGTTGTTGAGATGAATTTAGTATAAATAACGGATATTAAAATATCTAATGGTTTAGAGATATCCGCTTCTTTTGATGACTTTTGTAAAATCCTGAAGAAGAATAATATACTGAAATGTTTGAAAAGGAATTATTTTAACTCAAAGTCTCAAGTTGATTGCCTGAAAGTTAAATATCAGTTGGAGATATTTAATACGAGTGCGTACTGAGTCTTTCTAAAAGAGAGCAAGAACGAAGATTGGCGCAGAATAATTTGAATTCATTTTATTTCATTAGGTTCTTATCAGCTGCTTACAGCATATCTCAATGAAGTGAGGGAAGGATGGCATAGTTAAATGTTCAGTTTATAAGAAAGACACATGGAATGGTGTTTATCTCAATTTCAATAGCTTTTGTCCAATCAGTTACAAAAAGGCATTTGTCAAAACACTGTTTCACAGAACAGAAATAATATTTACTGCCGATACACTAGAAGAGGAAGTTAAGAATGTTAAAAAATGTTTAAAGAACAAAGGATACCTACTGAAATTTATTGAGAAATATGGAAAACGTGAAGATAAAAAACTCAAAGAAACTACAGCAAATAAAAAGCCTATTTTTATTCAACTTAAATTCAAAGGTGATGTCACAGGATCAATCAATATGGGACTAGAAACTGGGTTGAAAAGAACTTATCCTGCAGCTTAACTGATTGTCCTGTCCAAAACAACATATTCTTTGACACAATCAAAGTTCTATGGGTATCCCTTTCATGTTACCATCAACTATGTATACAAATTTACAAGTATCTGCCAAGGCAGTTACATTGGTAGAACAGAAAAGAAAGCCTACGCCCGATTCAAAGAACATATTCCGAAAAGTTTATGATCAAATGGATTAGAAGCATTCAACAGTGCCATCGCAAGACATCTCCTTGACACAGGACACGAAGTCGATACACTGAAGTCCTTCAAGGTGATTAACAAACAATCAAGCCCCGGCTTTTTGGAATTTGCCGAAGCGATTACAATCAAACTTCTAGAAGCAGATCTATGTATCCAAAAAGAGGTAGTAATAAATCTTTCTTTGCCCTGGTAATATTAAACCCTCCTTTTTTATTTATCACGTCATTCATTATTTCAACTCTCTGAAGTTTAAATTACATCATTATCATTTTTCTTCAATTCATAACTGACTGATAGCAATTCATATCTTTCTTTATTACCATTAATTTATTTTCATTTGCTTCATTACTCAGTCATCTAATGTTTGTTAACTCCATGAGTTCTAATCACTAGTTCAGTGTTCTGGAACTTTCCCTCAAACTTTATTTATCCGAAACAAAATTTTTTATAACCTTATTAACTCTATTGAAATCTTCACTACATCATGATACATATATTCATCTTTAGTTACCCTCTTATGTATAAGTATGTCAATATATGTAATAACGTTGATTTTCAAATATTTTAGGTTGTAAGCAGCTGATGAGAACCTAATGAAATCATATAATGCTGCACCAATCTTTGTTCTTGCTCTCTTTAAGATAATAAAGGGAACTATGTGTATGAAATTAGTCTTTCTAGTTAGTCAACATCATTTTTTGCCAGTTGTTGGCAATCGTCTAACTATTTGTTACTGATTTATACAAATATTCGTCAATATTAGGACGAATAGTTTGACAAAATTTGGGCGCCGATTATGGCAAAGTCATTGTATGTGAAGATTATGTTGGGAATAATCTCAGCGATTGAAATCTAAACAATTCAAACGTTTTGTTCGGCAAGCCTGTCTGGACTTCTTCAGGGTACTAATCGAAATCAAGATCAAAAAAATTTAAATTTCAATCGCTGTGATTGTTTCAAATATAATTTTCACATATAATATTCGTTACTGATTTTTTCAACGACATATTACTTCTATAGTTTATATCTAATGCTTTTGTTTAAACCCTCTGTAATGGCCTTGCATTTCATAATCAGTTTATGTGTAAATGTATCATAACTTGTTAACCGCGTTGTATCCTACTTTTTAAATCTAACACCCGTTGATATTTGTCTATATTTGGTCAATTTTTCATCGATAATGTGATGTTAATTTCTTTGTCAGCTTACATTTAATATCATCAGTTAATGAAAAATGTACTAAATCACACAGTAGATGGTGATACCTTTGTGTCATTTCACTTAATTATCTTGGTTAACTTAACAAATCATATGTTGAATGGTGCAGACTGCAAAGAATGAAGGTGTCTCATCAAGGAAAAATGTTTTCAATACCATTTCCTTACGTTGTACGATCTATTTATAGGTAATTTTTTATATTCAGTATTCCACGTTTTCAATGGTGGTCTAGCTTCAACTGACTCATGATTTCAACCTGTGAAATAGAAGAGTGTTAAAATTCATTCAAATATCGATTGTAAAAGTCAACAGAAATGGAGTGATGTTGCGTAATTTAACAAAGTAGTCACAAACATTATCAACAGATTTCAAGTATTGTCTATAAATTCATAGACGGAAAGGTGTTATTTGAGAGTAATTAAAGTTATCGAAAGTTTAACAAGTACTAAATAGAATAGGTGTTGCGTCATTAAGCAAAGTAATCAGAAATTATCAGTCAATCAAGTTATTCATTTATGATGAATTTTAATATTGATAATTTTCTCAGTTAATTTTAGTTAGTACAAGAATTTTCTATGTATATTGCTTTTTTGTTTGTATGGCCTATATGTTATTCTGTTGTTATCTTTTAATATAGGCGAAGTAATCAATTAATGATGATTTAAAGTAGATGAATTATATTTATTGTTCAGTTAGTTAGTAACTGTTTTCTTCCTACCGACATAGATAATTGTTAACCTTTAATACTTTATCATGAATAGGTTGATTATGAATTGTTTAGAAATTTTAAGTACTTCAATAGATATTAAATTCTGAAAATAATAATAATAATGTTTCTTGTGAGATATTGATTGATTATTTCTTTAATAAACATAACGAAATTTCATGCTAAATGCTGAGATAGGAGGAATTGAGTAAACTTAGGTATCATTACCAAGGTTTGACTTGATGATTTCGAATAAATTGAACATTGTGTAGATTGTTATAAATAAATTAATATATTTATAATATCATTTATAATAATAGTTATTTATTCTCTGAGGAAGTGGCTTACATTGAGTCACGAAACATCAGAAAATTTAATTTTTCTACTCATTGGGATATTAGGAATATATTAATTTATTTATTGTGTAAACATGTTATTTTCGCGATCTAAGATTGTACTTTTGCATGCAATACTATCACGGACTTATTTATCCATAGTTAGTATTTCGCATCTCGTTTGATTTACGACAAAGTTATCTTACGGTTAGTCACTTGTCATATTAAGCTCTTTAATTCTGTTACGTTGTCCTTCTCTAATGATGGATAGATTAACAGCTCAGCAAGAAATGCCTTTAGAGTATCATACGACCTGTCAAACTGGTTATGCAAGTATTCATGACTTTGATGTACTCATTTTCTGGCAATAAAACTGTTATAACGTGAGATGCTGCTGATTAGAGGGTAGCGGGCGAATTTATCGATCGGACCAAAGACGCGTAAACACGTAAGAACGGCCTAGAGTTCTGATTGGTCCCACTTCCCTGTTTAGCCCAGCCAGTTGAGTCCAGAACGCAAGTCTCAGCCTCTGAGATATGAATCATTGTATTTCAAACATACTCTGTTTATATACCAATCAGGAAGACCACATCGTACCATAAAATAGAAAACAACATTGTATAGTATTGACCAGTAGGAAAACGACACGTCAAATAAATATTGACCAATAAGAAAATAACACCATTTCAAGTCCAAGGATAGCGTTAGACCTAACAGAATAATTTTTGAGACATTTCCCTGAATATCCCAACAAAAACATAATGCCCTGTTGCTTAATTAGCAAGTTCTTTATAGTAGTATAATAGGTGCATAAGTCATTGAGCGTCGTTACCATCCCCGTCTGCGATATTAACCTTAAATCGTTTCATGAACGTTCAAAATTTGAGAAGTATTCCATAGAATTTAAGAATTTTAATCTCAGGCAGTCCAACTTATAAATAATGATCTGACGAATTCCTGTTTTAAGTTCATTTGCATCGTCCAAATCTTTGTTGGTATATTGGTTTATCATTGCAGCATCAGTAGTTACGCTTTTAGATTGAAATCCAGGCGTCTCACCATTTTCGTCCGGGTCCTTAAAGGTCATCTGGTGCATGTCTAATTTTTAATAACCTCTTACAGAGTTTGTCATCATGATAGTGATAGTTTACAAACATAATTGAGTTCACCTTAAACGAAGGAAATAAAGGATTTTGATATTCTGTTTCGTTTAATTTGTCTTGTTTGTTTGTGATCTCTATACGTCTCGTTACCGGCATTGTCAAAGTTATTTGCGTATTCAAGTTCTAAGCCAAATTAAATATACAACAATAAAGCTTCGGATTTTTAATTAGAACTCAGTACTGTGAAATATTTTCAGGACGCGTAAATCTAGTCATCAAAACGTAAGGTTTTGTGCTACACTTGACTATAAGTTACACCTTATTTGTAGTGAAATACATAGAATTCTGTGAATATGATAGGAAGTGCACATTCAAATAAAGGATCAGAAGGAAATATTGTTAATTTCTAGAAGCTTAAGTAATATATTATTACTTATAGGGTGTATTAAAACTTATTGAGTAGAAACAGTATTCGATATTAGCAAACATTTAGTGAACTGCCCTAAAATCTATTAAAAGTTTCGTATTTCCACTTTATTGAGTCGTTCGATATTTTATCAAGTTGATCATTAGCCGTGATTGTAATTAGTAATCGATATGTGTATATATTTTGCGTTTTTCCACTTTGAAATACATTCAGTTTAAACTAACTATAAAAACAACTTTTTATGCTAATTGTTTCACTGTTTTTTCTAATCGTCTGGTTTATATTGTTTGATGTGCTAATGTATAACCCCTCAACGCTGTGTTCGTATGTGTATTTGTTAAGAAGTCTTCAGATTTCACTCGATTAAGTATTCATATGACGAGAATAGATTTTAATATAATTGTGATCATAAATAAGCGCTTTTCTTTTTGAGATAATAATAGTAATAATCGCTGTATGTGGAACTGTTTATTTGATCACAATTAAGGATTTTTAGTACAAGCTGTCCAATATTATAGTAAACCCCGGTTGTATGTATACTTAACATGTATGTAGATATAGTCTTCAGTGGTAACAAGCTATCATTTTTCTTTATTCGCAAACATGTTTAACCAGTTTTACTCACATAAAGTTGCTTTTTGCCGTATAATATATTTGATGGATGAATAGCATTGTGACTGCCTCTCATTTCTCCAGACGGCAGACAATAAAATCATGTTCTAATCACTGTGTAGTTCCGCATACATTTCGCATTAACTAACTTCGTGATATATTGTAAGCTGGTATATCCGGTTAACCAGTCACTCGAAGCAACTTTAAAATATTAACATTCATTTTGATATTTGTGCAGTTGATGAGATTAGTGAGCCTTAGGTTTGATCAGGTTGCCAAAAGTTTATTTGAAATAAAGGCTAAACTTGCGCATTTCTGGTGCTAGAATATGTTTTACAGTAAGTTACAGATATTTAGAGTGTACTGGTATAGAGGAGGATCGTATTCATAAGAAGAGCCGTCGCTAGTATGGTTCGACCATCTCCAGTGCAAGACAGTTATCCACATCAGGCAATGGATTGTGGTCACACAATATTGCGAATCGATTGGGCTTAGAGTTGTATAAATTATATTCCAGCTCAGTGGTTTCGAGTTTAAGTGTTCATTAGTGAGAATGAAGGTCATGGATTCAATTCTTGACTACTAGGCTGTGGATATTCACTGCTGAGGAATCCCATACTAGGACGAAACGGTTTTCAAATGCTTCTTGATTTTTAATCGTTTAACTAAGATCTATCCGTGATGCAAACTGAGAGAATTTAATAATCTCCATAAAAATTATACTATGCAAACAATAAAGATTAATTTTGTCTAACTTCTATATTGAGCTTTCGTATTTAACATTGTATTAAATCGTCTATCTAACATCCCGAACTCAAATACATATGATATTAAACACTCATATTTTATTGTCGATTTAGTGTAATTTCTTTATAAGTCTGCCTTTTTTGTTATCAATATTAGTGTCATTTGCGTACATCAGTAAACTGAATTCTTGAGCTCTGTATTATGATATGCGTTTAACGATACAACAGGCTTTAAAACAAAATTCAAAAACTCCCCCCCGTAAGAATGTTAATAGTGACCTGTGGTTTATGAATAGTTGTTTATTGTCCAATCACATCAATCAGTCAAAGGTAAACAATCTTCAACAGAACATAAATGTTCGTCGATCTATGTTGCTTCACTACCCTGAGACAGAAAAATTAAGGGATGAAAAACATAGGAAAAAAGTAATGTCTACGGTAATAGAAAAGTGAGCTTCAAAATTAGTTTTCAAAATAACTTAATGAAATCAAATGCTAAGATAAATTGGGTAATACTTAGCTCAAAATTTAGATAAAGGTAACGAATTTACGCTATTAAATTTGATTCTAAGTTGTATTACTTCAAATCTTTATTTATAATCTACGACCTCGCAATTTACTCAGTTACTCATACTCAATGTAGAACCTAGCACGTATGTGTATCGGTTCAAATTGTAACATCATATTAGAATATCGAAATGAAACTACCATGAGAAACACCAGAGTAGTATAAATAGTTATAGTATCAGTGGTAGTATAAAGGATTAAACATAAACGATATAATTTGAGGAGGAATGAGTTTACAGAATGAAAAAGATAATTGTGGAACTTTGTATTGAAGGAAAGATCGTGAGTGAATGCATCTATGCCACTGCGGCGAATTTTGACCGTATCATCCAACGTCTCTAGCCATTGATAACAATAATTGGGCGAACTCGAACCAGGATGTATGCATCTGTTGACATGGCTGATTTCAACAGTCATTCACTTCACGGACTGGTGCGACGTTTTGGATTGATCTCCCCCAACCTTTTTCCATCCTACTCTCGGATAGGCAAACATCACACATTGAGGTAGGCGGTGATTGAGCCCCACGGTGTGCGACTCTTGTTTAACCGATTTTGAATATCTTAGTCGATAACATGTAATTGTCTTTCACTAAACTCTTGTCGTTCGTAGTTTTCTAATCAGTTTCATGTCAAGTAATGATTTTTGGCAGAGACGGTATGTGTAGTTATGTATTAACGTTATTAATGTTGATGTTGATTTTTTGATTTTGGCATACGTTCGAGTTACACCATAATCTACAGTAGTTTACAAATTTACTGTATTTTTAATTTTTTTTCCCAGGCTTCTAGTTTTGATCCAAACAGTGTTGATTTGTACACAGGAGTAAGTTGAGTTACTGTACTAACAATTACTTCACTTATGATTATATTGTTATATACTGTAACAGAAATCAGTGTAAGGGGAGATGTTGTAGAACAATATGTAAAACGCATTGTTCTAGGGATTTTAATAGTTTATACTCAACTTTCAACTATGTGATCGGAGACGGGCATTTAAGAACCAAGCATATCCAATTAACAATTCACATTTTGTAAGAAACGCGTATTCCTTATTCTACTACTAACCTCTAAATCTAATTATTGAGCTGTTTAGAAATTTTTCACACAGTCAATTTTGGGGAACTAGGTAGGCATGATTGATACTTAGACTATAAGTATAATTTCGTGTATCAGATTGTATTCAATTAGTTGCTTTGGATTATGTTATGAAAAGTTTTATATTTGATTAAACTTTCTATTCATTGAATATTTAAATTGAGACAACTTATCTTTTTAAACATTTGATATCATCAGTTCCGTAATAGGTGTGTTGAGTAAACAAAATTGATCGCTTTTATTGTGTTCAGAAAGTGACTTTGTAAACTGACTTTATTATTCTCACTTAAATACATAAAAATCCCCATCTCACTAATATATGAACGAAGAATATTGTTTGCAATAGGTCCTCTACAGGTTCTACAATTATATATGTCTAAATTAGTAATCCAAAAAGGGTGACCGGATTTTAGGTGAGGTATGTGGTTTAAAGTTATAGCATGTGAGTGTCGGATAGTAGAATAACATAAAGTTGTTAATGTTGAGGTGACCAATATTGAATTTTAAATGAAATTATATTCGACTAAGAAATGTTGTATGTACGTTAGTAAGATTAGGTCATGCTGTAGTTAAGATTACTAGTGATTGATTGGATTTGACGTTGTCCATGGTTGGGGAAGAGGTTGAACATATATCTTTTGTACACATAGTTTTGGATTTTGAATCGGAATAGTTATTTGTATTTGGGTTTGAAGGACTTTTAGTCAGACTGAGTTTTGCAAACGTGGTGACATTAGCGTTGCATTATTGTGGTTGAAAAATGAAAACGTGTTTTGAGTTAGGTGAACAGATCTCGATGGTTCATATTTTTATGAATAAGTGTTTCTGTTTACGCAGGTCAGTAAGAATAAGTTGAAATCTAGTTCACTCACTCCGATCTAAGCAATCCAATAATTCTTTTTACCACGTTAATTTATTTGTTGAATAACGAAGATAGAATACATCTAATACAACACGTTGATTCAATCTATTTAGCTGTTTAAAAAAATCAGTTGAGCTTCAACTATAGATTTACAGGTTGTTCTTACTGAAATTATATTTACTTTTATAGATGAATATTACTACCGATTTACATAGCAAGTAGAGAATAGTAGTCTGGTTACATCACATTAGTTCAACAGTCAATTTCATGGTTACATTGATAGTATATTATGAGTTACTACTATTAATACTACGGTTATGTATTTCACTGTTTGATTAGTAGATTCATGAAATTGTTGAGTTTTGTAAATATTCTGATTGCATAATAAAATACACATTAGTTTCATATTTCAACATGTCATTACAGGAATAATATTGATTTCCTATTTTTATAGTCATATATGTGTATACTTATTTTCTGATCGGTTACTTTGATAAAGAAATTAAACCCAATGGTTGGAATAAGTAGTTCTATAATCATTCAAATTGGTCTTCATGAGGTTAAAACAACTCGATCCCAATTAATGAAAGCATTGATTGACAGTGTAATTGGTTATTTTATTGGTAGTCAGTATCTACTACTAATATTGATTATATTTATTATTTAGTCAACTTAGTTTTCAGCGCAAAACTTTCCAGCTAACGTAGATTAACTTGCATGGGTATGTGCAATATTACTACATTATGGATTAAAATTTATAATTGGGGAAATCCATTTTACAAATTTTCTACTCCTTTAAATTACGATTTTGAACAGTTAGGATCCAACAGGAATTTTTCATGAAATAATAACTGTTTATAATAACGATAAGTGATTTAGATAAACGTTAAAGTACAAACTGTTTGGTATATAAGATGTTAAATAATTGATGCTTTAAACATTTTCTTCGCTTACTTAACTAATTTATCTGTTTTCTCCCGTTATAATTATAAATATTTAGTTTACTTACTATTCTCTACCTTTATCATAATGAATATTCTTTTGTGATTTATTTCTAAACAAATCTTATCATCAAGGGAATATTTCTAGGTTGTGAGTTTGGTCTCGCCTGTCTTTTCATTTGGGCTATCGGTTTATTGGCTGCTGGGCAGTCGTCTACAATGACTGGGACATATTCTGGACAGTTTGCTATGGAAGGTTTTTTAAACTTAAAATGGAAACGCTGGCAACGAGTGTTAATAACGCGTTCTATAGCTATTTTGCCCACGATTTTAACGACTGTTTTTCGAGGTAATTTATATATATGTTCGTGAAGTACTTTTTTATGCATGCATTCGGAATCGCCCGTAATTTTAAATTTTAATGTAGATTATGTAAAATGTTCAATACAAGGTCTTTATTCACACCGGTTTCCTTTCAACTAGCTTTCATAGATTAGACTTTGTTAAAAATTACAAGTAAGCTTATCGAAGTGTATTGTTGATAAGTAGAATATTTCAAGAAGCCAAAAACAACTTTACATATTCTTTTTCATAATATCTCTATTTAGTGCCATTTATGTTGATTTGTACTTTTGTTTGGTTAAGTCGTATTTTAATCTTGGTAGTTTTAATATTTAGTTGAAAAAGTAGATACAATCTATTTCCTATTATTATATTATTTAACTAAATAACTATAGTTAAAATTCTAGATTTGCTCTGTATCCCGAATCATGTAATACTTCACGGTTTTATGGTTTATCTGAAATTTATAAACCAGATATCCCTCCAAGACCTATAGTAGACTTCACCAACACACAAACATATGCATTATCGAAATATGTAAGCAACATATTAAGGCTACTGCAGCTTAACTTACATAATATGATTAAAGATTCATATGACTTGAAATCAGAATTATCGGAATTAATTACCAAAAAGAATGAAGTTATGGTAAGCTTTTATGTTGTTTCTTTATACACTAGTATTCCTATTGATAAATACTTTGAATTCACTAGTGGTTTACTAGAGAACAACAATACTCTTTCTGACAGATGTCCTTTAATCATCAGTCTAATCATGAAATCTTTAAAACTCTGCTTCTATTCTACTCTATTCACCCTTAACGGGACGTTATACAAACAAACTAACGGTGTAGCAATGGAATCCTTCGTGTCCCTGATTGTAGACAACCTGTTTATGGCACACATAGAATCAAATATTTTCGCCAACGACGTTAAACCACTAATTTGGCTTAGATATGTAGATGATACATTTGTTGTTATAAAAAAACTAATCTAAGATGGTTTTCGAAACGGATCAATACACTTTCATCTCACATCAAATTCACGGACGAGAATGAAAATGAACATGGTGAGCTACCATTTTTAGATTGCTTAGTGAGAAGAAATCCAAATGGAATTCTAAATCTATCCATCTACCGAAAACCTACATACTCTAATCGTTATATTGGCTTCAATTCAGCACATCCTTTCAGTACAAAGACCTCACTAGCCCTAAATCTTTTTAGAAGAGCTAAGAAGATTATCACATCAGAAGAGAATAAACAAAAAGAACAAAAGAATGTAATTCGCATCTCACAATTTAATAACTTCTGACGTTTCATTGTGTGATAATAATAATTCGAATGAAGTACCATGAATTAGTACTGCAGTTTTACCGTACCGTCATAGCACAACAGAAGGACTCCAAAGAATCTTAAAACAACACAGAATTAAAGTATATTACAAACCAATGAACACACTTCGAAATACTTTAGTTCGCTTAAAAGAAAAACAAACTCATTCATGTCAACACAGAACTGCGTCTACAAATTAGGTTGTGTCGATTGTGATGCCTTCTATATTGAAGAGTCATCTCGCGAAATCTTGACTCGTGCCAAAGAACATATTAGGTACACAAAGAAACCTAATAATCCCGTAGAACTGGATAGACCTCAAATTAAATCGTCAATAGCAGTTCACGCCATTTTCAACCACCACCAAATCGATTTCAAAAACATCAAAATATTACAAAAAGATTTTTCCAATTTTGCTGTTGACTATCTCCAGCTACCTGATGTTAAAGTACAATGTACACAGTGTCAAGCTACTAAAACTTAAAGCCACATTACACTTTTATGTATTGTTAACGGTTGTTATTACTCATTGATTAACCAATATGGAATAAGTCACTCTTCTTTCACTGATTTTACATAGAAATTTAACTGATGATATAATAGGAATTGAACATCTGTTTTGCATATTAGTAGCAGTTTTTTTCAATTCTGGGGCTGGTGAAGGTAGGAGATCATAAATTCTGACAAATTATATCAATAGTTTCAAAAAGTAGTATATTGGTGAACAAGGATGTTACATCAAAAGAAACCGTGAACTTATCGGCACCATTCGTATGATTTAGTCTATCGGCAAACTGGATTATAAAATAATTTATATTTTATGATGATTGTTTGATTCATCTATCTATGAGTAGTTTGTTACTTATACCATACATATATGTATATATTATCTATGGAACAGGCATTGAAGATTTAACTGGAATGAATGATTTCTTAAATGTACTAATGAGTGTTCAACTGCCATTTGCTGTTATTCCATTGTTAACATTCACTAGTAGTAGATCAGTTATGGCTGAATTTAAAAATTCTCTGTAAGTTACTTTACTTTTTTTTTAACAAAAAGAACTTGAATCTTTGTTATCTTATGTGTATTTTTCCATAGTGTATGTGTTGACAATGTTATCCAGAGGGATAATAAAAGCTTCATAGTTAAGCCGATTAGCTCTGAGAACATAATAACTCTAGCACGTTGTTCTTTGTTTAAGATGTATGACACTTACATACAATGAGTTATAGTTAAATAAATGTAGTCTGAAAGTAACGAAAATTCAGTGAAGAAAATTTTCGATCAAATCATATACTCAAGCTCTATCTTTGTATTTATAGTCGTTTAATAAATATACAATTATACGGGAAAATAGATGAGGTTACATCATGAAGTGATACGAGATTTTAAATATCAAAAGGAGGTCGCGTAATGATGGAAGGGTTAGAGAAGAATAAGAGGATGAAAATAATCTTCCGATCAGAAATATGATAGAATATTGTCCATTTGACAGATATGAAGAATATTGAGAGACGTTAAGGTTATAATAACAACTGAATAATCATGAAAGATCGGTAAAGGATTATAATAACTGTAAAAAAATTATGAGACGAAACAAGACCAAAACATACAGGAGAAGAGAATTAAGGCCATGGAAGGATGAATGGTTGGATTTATCGTTTTTGTACGCGGCGTTTGGGATTGAATACATGGATCACTAACGTCTCAACACTGGATACGATTTTGATTCGACCGCTCTTCGATCCGGTTCCTTTGATTGTATAGATTATTTTGAAGGAAGACTTTTTCGGAGCAACGTGTTCATAGATGATTCAGTACTCCTGTATCAAACTGGTGTCTGTTATGCATTCTCCTTTTAAAACCATGTATTGTGTAATACTCAATCTTACCATCTGGATGTTTAAACTGAACAACTGCTTGTAACTGGGCCCATATATTAAGCTAAGCGGTTGAAACTATACGCTTAAACATTTATACCACCATTTCGAGTTGGTAAATGATCATGAATATTTTATTGTAAATCTAAACTAACCAGATAGTAGAAATTTATATTTTCTTATGAAACCAAACGAAAAGCGACAGTTAAGCTAATACTATTGATTCCGTCCTAGATAATTCAAACCTAAAAGCAAATAACTACTATAATATATTCTGTTTGTTATGGAGGTTTGGTTATCCCTGTTTTCTGACTGAGTAGATCAGCCTATGACGTTCACTGAACTAAGCCCTATGTTAGAATTTTGTTGATAATCTCACTATTGAGTTGTAGTTTCTGTTTGATGCTAAGGTTTAAGTAAGTCTTCCTTGATTCCATATTTATCCCTTTTTGAAAAATACAATCACCATAAAAAGCGAGTATAAGATGTCAGGATATTTGTAAACTCTTCATTTCTGATAGTTTATAGATATTCTATCCAGTAAATACACGAACTGAACTACCAAGGCGATTAGTTTTGAAGAGGGCATGCTGATGAAAACACAAAATATATTTGGTCTCTTTGCTTTCCAGTTGCTTATTTCGAACCGAATTATGGAACAAATATCTGTGAATACCATTCTAGTAGATTACACAGAGATGAGAAATTATGTTTAGAAATAGTCTTAAAGTTGTTGACATCTAACCAAAAGCGGACATCAAGCTGAAATCACAGAGCAAGTGATAGATAATAAAGTGTGAAACGATAAGACAAATAAAGAATCTGACCTTTGAGAATTTTAAAGGCTGCTTCTTACATTGGGGACTGAGATATGAGAAATGTATTTGAACAGCTGGGGCAGTGTTTCGCAAGAGATAAGGTTGATTTTACATACATTTTGTGAAATAAGGTCTCTACAATCTTAGTCCGCTTATATATTGGAACGACTACACATTTTTAAGAATATGAAATCTATTTTTTGTACAATTATTGCCTTCCGATTTTCTTGTTTAAAAAGAATATATGCCTATTTTCTGTTACTTTTAAAGCATAAACTAACCTTTTCGTATGTTTACAAAAAGGTAGGGGTGAACAATGCATGCTACTACATATAACTATTTTACATTCTGGATAATTTGTAACTGAGTTTTATTATAATCTTTACTAAATGATTAAACTCATTTTCCATTATTCTGTTATAATAATGATTTTGGTAATATATTGAATCAAATGAAATAACATTTTCATCTCCCCTCCTTCACTGGTCTATTTTTATCAAAACGAGCAAATTTTGTTAAAAGTTTAAAATGATTGCTTGTCACTGCGAACAATTAAAATGTACAGTTTCTTGTTTACTCCTGAATAGGAGGAAAACTTGCGTTAATAAATGTTACCAGTATAACGTGGTACATTCGATTCTTTGACATGCAGATATTGATTAGTACTGAATATCAGCTTTTCTATCATGTAGCTATCAACAGTTTGATTTGATACATCTTTTTATACTTCAACAAATAGTGATCTAAAACTGTCTAGTATTTGCCTTACTTTGTTGACTTACTCCGAGTTTTTGGATGAATTAATCAGAATTAAGGTAGCTCCTCTTAAATGTTTACGGGAAATTTATTGATCTGTAGGGCTACAAAGCATTTTTGCACTGTAGCTAATGTCAGTTCGCAATGGAAACACTAACCATAAACTCCTAACCTTAACCCTGAGTACCTGACTCTATGAACAATATAGAAAATCTTAAAAATGTATTTGGATCCTTATACGAGATGTAGATGACGGATTATATATATATATATATCTATATATATAATGTTAACATTTGTAGTTTTAAGTCATATTTCCTCACCGCCAACATCGTCACCTATCGCAGTTATTATGTAGTTATCTGTTGTTTGTAAATATTTGTCATTAATTTTTCTTCATAAAAGCATGCTAATCAATCTTTTTAGTTTTTTTCACAATATGATTTATAATTGTCACATTCATGCATCTTTTTACTGTTCATTGAAATTTTACTACATTTTCTTGCATAATATAACCAATGGTTTGTGTTTTGCATTTCAATGTCTATAATTGTTTCTCTTTCTTCTTCTACTGCCTTCTTTATAGTCCGGTTTCAATTGTTGCTAATTTAATATCCATAGCAGTTGTGTCAATTAATCTATTCTTGGGTAGTGTTGTAATTAAAGCACGTCTACCGCATCATTGGGCAGTATATTTAGGCATGGGATTATTATTCGCGTGTTATTTAGGGTTTGTATTTTACTTGGTAAGTTCTATCGTGTATTATTCTGTTTTAAAAATTCAATTCAACATAATGATTGATAAATAATAATAGTTGTATTCTTATGTACTTGGTTTCTATTTTTCGAAGTTTTTGCGGATAATGCTATTAGGAAACGCGGTTTTAATTTAGATGTAGTTTAGTTCTCTGAGCTGGATTTTTTGGTCGGGCAGCTTTCATTGTTCTTTTGAACAACATCATCAGCACAAACCTCTGGTAGAAGTCACTGATGATTTTGTCCTAAACGATGGTATATGATCCACAATTGAGCTATCTAACCCGTACAAGAACATTATCATTGGATAATGTAAACTACAGAATAACTGATAATGACAGGAAAAGAGGTTTCTAATTTTCTCTAGTACTAGATACTTTGACTAGTACATTCAGAATTGGACTATTTGCTTAAACTTTGACTTGAAATATAAAAGTTGGCATTCTTTTAAAACGTTCCTATTGTTGAAATTATTAATTGATTAACTATTACATTGTGTATTATCTAATAAATTCTAAGTGATATTTATATCTATTTCCAGTTTTAATACATATTTGCTTTTGTTTTAGATTCTATAATATTTATTCTCAAGTGTAAATTACTTTGTTTATTTTTGTTAATATATTTAGATTTGGTTCGGATTTATTCATGTATGGCGTTCAAGAAGGGTATGTTGATCATGTATGCATTTGGATGGTATAATTTTGTCTGTTTTTTCAAGGATTATATCTTTTTCGCTTGAATATCATTTGATGAACGTATTTAGATTTCGGTCTTTCTATGGCTTTTCATTTCTCTGTCTTTGTTTGGATAGGAAGAAATAACATTCCCTCTTTCAGTTTGTTTTCAATGTTAATGCGTTCATTGTTGTGGTATATATTGTTGGCACAAATTCTTCAACGAAAACTGTTATGTGAAGCTTTTTTCCTTGATTTTGTTAGTAGTCTGTTCTGCCAGTCTTAGTTGTGACTGGGTATTCTTAATAGAATAATTTTTGCGCAGTATAATCGTTGCATCTTAAGTGACAGTTATACGTTTGCCTAGCTTTGAATAACTGATAGTGTGAGATTATTCTATATGAGTTTATATATTTCCTGATTGTTGATATTGAGGAGTGCATCCGATCACTCTCCGTTGGAGTTTGTGCACCCTGGACTCTAAGTCGAAGTACGCTATTCTAAAATTATGTTACAATTTCCGAATTATTCCATTCTGAAACCTTGGGATGTGTTTGCTTGTTGTTACTGACACTTTTTAAATAACATAGAACAATGCCTTTGCTCTTTAAACTGTGTACTGATATTGCCGAGAATGAGATTGAAAGCTTCATATATAAAAGTAGCTAGTTCAGAGGATAAAGATCAGTATGTAGTTATTTTTCATCACGGATTGACATCAGATGGAGAACCATTGGAAATCAAGAAGTACTATACACTTACTCCAGTCTATGATAGGAATCTTCAGCATTGTTCATTCACAATTCTTCTAAGAATGAAGTGAAAGTGAAACGCTACTTAGTCGCTAAGATGGAATTATATGATCATTTAATGAGATAGATATATATATCACAACAAATCACTAAACCGATAGTCGATAGCTATTTTAATCTAGACTACACTGACTACCTCAGCTTCAAATCGTCTCTACTATAAACAACGAACTGTTTGATTCTCTTTCGTTTTCCCCCAAATAACTTTTGTTTTATGTTTATTTGTTTATTTCATACTCTTGTTTTTTTGCCTTATCAGACTCCTACAACAGTTGTTACATTGAGTATGGATAGATCTCTTTCAGTGATTGACGTTGGTGCCACGGCTGTTCCTATTAATGGTGAGGGCGGTAATCGACCGACCAATGAGAAAACTCTCCATAATACAATGGTTCTTTCTTAGAAATTATACGATACAAAAGGATTTGAAAAAAATAATTTAGCCAAATAACAGTACTTAGCAGGAAGAGAACTTTTCGCCAATTAAATCTTGTCTTTCTAATTCATCCATATTATTATTATTATTATTATTATTATTACTACTTCCATAGTATTTGTATTTAATATAATGATATTTTTCCAGATTGTTATGCTACTATCAGAGTATATTTGGCCTTAAATTACATTTTATTTATTAATTTATGGAATAGTAAGCAATTGGGAAGTAATATGATTTTCGTTTTGTCAATCGATCTATTTACACACTGTTTTTAATCTTGCTATGAGTCACATTTATTTCGAATTGTTTGATATGCTGAAAGTTTTTACAATATATATATTGAGATATGCGGTGCTTAATTTTTTGTTCCCTGCTAATTTTGTTATGATCGTAGTTGCTTATAGAGGTCTTGAATAACTGTCGAAAGTTGAAGGAATGCTATTGTTACCAAGATTTTCTGTTTATCGGGACTCACCAACATGATGTATGTACATCCAGTTTCCAGGTGATCCATGCCACCCTGGATATTAAGATCCGTTTCGTTCGTTAGGACTGAATTATTTAATGTGTGATTAATTCATTACAGAACTAAAGTAAGTGAAATATGGTCGAATTTATAGGATGCAAAAGGTGGTCTACTCTTCGTAAATTTAAAAGTGTTGGGTCATTTAGTTTATCGATTTTAATCCCCATCATATTAAAACACTAATATATGAACGAAAAATATTGTTTTCAATAGATCCTTTGCAGGTTCTACAATTATATATGTCCAAATTAGTAATCCAAAAAGGTGACCGGATTTAAGGTGAAGTATGTGGTTTAAAGTTATAGCATGTGAATGTCGGATAGTAGAATAACATAAAGTTGTTAATGTTGAGGTGACCAATATTGAATTTTAAATGAAATTGTGAGATTAATGATGAGAATAAATGTGGGTGAGAGAAATATTGATGCAATTACGAATCGGACCAAATGTTTAGTGTATATTGTGTATAAAGTTGTATGAATTCGATGAAGACTAATAAAGTGGGGTGAGTGGTGAGTATATGAATCATTTGTTTGTGAGAGTAGTAGAGATGTTGAACCAATGATAATTGAGAACGTTTGTGACTCGGTGTAAATATCGTGGTGATCGTCACGAGATACATATGTGCCAAAAGAAACTGATAAATTACAGTTCTAAACATCAATGGGAAGATTCAAACAAGCAATGGATAGAAATCGATTTTAAAATAATAATTATTATTATTATACAAAGATATGTGAATAGAAATAATCACGACAATTATATTTGACTAAGAAATGTTGTATGTACGTTAATGAGATTAGGTCATGTTGTAGTTAAGATTACTAGTGATTGGTTGGATTTGACGTTGTCCATGGTTGAGGAAGCGGTTGAACATGTTGTTATGAATTAGTAGTTTATAAGCGTTAATTATTTTGCAGACATCTGTTAGGATATTTCAAGTTGTCATCATGGGGGTTGAATGAGTTCTCTGTGATGAACTATATACAGAACCCGTTTCACTAGATTACTGATTATATGGACTGAAAATGTTTACAAATTAATGTTTTAAATAGAGTATATGAGTCATATTATTGGTGATAAGCATTATATTTGAAAGAATAACAGGCAAATAAATGTGTATCTAAAGTAAGCTGATGCTTTAAGATTACTTTTATGGTTTATATATGTTAAAAGAACCAAGTTGTTGTTCCATAATAACATATATTTAGAAACATCTTTAATCCTCTGAAGTAGTCAGTGATGAAACTCCGTATCTTTGTTACTCTTATTTTTTTTGTCCTTCAGACAGATGTTTGGTGTAAGGGATTTTGTAGGTTTATTTAATCCAGCTTCCACTCAAATTTGAAATCAACATAATTGCAAACACTAACCGCTTTCATATTGAATGAAATTGATATGCTGTCGTTAATACTACGTAGCATCGTTTTCATGTGATACCAGTTACACCTTTTGGATTGGTGGGCACCAAATAGATATGCGTCTTTATAGACCAATTCTTCCTAGTTAAGGTGGTCTTTGTTTATCAATGAATAGAGTTTATAAAGAGTTCCAACACTAGTTTTATGACTAAAGAAAGCATAAATGAGAGTAGCAAATGCATTTTAATTCCTCACTTGGTACACATAACACGGTATCTAATTTATATTGTTTGAATATCGTTGAATCCTAGTTTATGACTCATAAATAGCTTTAGAATTTATACTTAAAGCGATATGGGTCAATGATATTTGTGAAAGTTTTTGTGTGCGTAAGCCCCTTCTATATGCAGATGATCCTAAAGTAGTATATTCATTTTCTCCACATGAGCTGAAAAATATGCAAAATTGCATCAGCATGGAGCTCAACAAGGTAGCACAGTGGTGCTTAAAATGGCAACTGGAGCTTAATACGGCTAAATGTGGATGGATATGCTTCGGCGATACATCACTCAACCTAGACCTTACCATAAATAGAGAAGTGTTATCTAGGTTACATACAGTAGTAGACTTAGGACTTAGATACTCCCAAGACTTGTCGTTTACAGAACAGATATTGAAGCAGACCTCTAAGTCTCAACGTCTTGTAGGTTACATAACTCGAAACCTTTATAACAATGAGTCACGTATTTTAATGTACAAAGTTTGTGTTCAACCTCTCCTAGAATATTACACGTTTATTCTCAGCATAAAAGATAAATTAGGGCTGGAATCAGTACAGAAACGATTTACACTTCGTATTCTTGAAGCTGGCTGTACCTTAACTTATAATTCTAGATGTAATAAAATTGGGCCCGACCCTTTATGGAAGAGTAACCTCGAACTAAATCTTATCTTTTTCTCCAAACTACTTAATAAAGTATCCTTTACATCCAATCAAGTGATTCAATATGCAGAAACTTCTCATTATGACATCCGTAATTCCTTGTCACTAGTGAAAAAAAACTTATTCTAAATCATCTCTCTATATGGATTACTTTACCTGTAAATTTTCTAAACTCTGGAATAACCTACCACAATCTATCCGTACGATAAAATCACTTCCATTATTTGTTCGCTGCATCGATGCATACTGCTCCTCTGATAATGTATTTAATGTTCTAACACCCGTAAGTGTATCTCATTACACAAGTGATGTTATAGGAACTTTACATGTTTAGCCATTTTTATTAGTGCATTCCCTAAGTAAAACCACCTACTTGCTGTCACTTTATGTTAACACCGTCCCCAGGAAGTCTAACTAATTTGAATAACATCAACAGTATATCACTGTGTCACATGACACACGCATTTAGGTAGACCTGATTGATATATTTTGGTTATTACTGATTTTTTGTTCCGTGCTCTCTGTTTTTGTTTTAATTTCCCTAGTTGTAGATAATTATCATTAATTCGATCTGGCACACGAAATGAACTTAATTACTCCGTTCATGAATCAACAGGCTGTCCATTTAAAGAATATTAAAAGTTCCTGGCTGATGCATTAGATCGCTGTAATACATGTACTACCTAAACAATTACTTAACTAGTATACCTCAAACTTTCTTCTATCACATGTTTGTTCTGTACATCTAATGTTACTATTTATATCAAATTGATCATGCCTGTAAACTGGCGTGAATTCTGTAATTATTACTTTCGGAATATAAATTATTATTATTATCATTATATGAAAAATATGGGTCTACCTACCCACTGTTAACAGTTGAAGCCGTCAACATCCATCATAGTAAACCACCTGGATATTCAGTCACATGTGCCGAATCAAGGATGCGAATTGCTACGGAGTCTCGTACTAGAATGAAAGAGTCGTACATTGCTTTCAATTTTACAATCGTGGTCCAACATTGATCGGTTCATAATGTCAATAAAATATTGATCGAATTTCTTTGATAAGGGTCGTATTGAAGTTGAGCACGTTGAAATATGGGAATGTTGACAAATAATATGCAAATATATAGATTGAAAGTGTGAAATAGACACAAGATCGTCATAACTTTTGATCTGAATAATTGCTTATTTTCATCCGTTTCTCAAGAAAGTTTTAATCTGATTTTTTGATTATTGGAATAAGGAAAAGTTCACCTTAAATCAGATTAATGACAGAATAATTCAAATCATTACTTTTAAACTGTTATTATGGTTACTTTCGGAATTGTAAACTTTTAGTGATGTAAATGAATAAATATCATGTTGATGTTGTGTGTTCTATTGTAATTACTTTTGAACAGTTACAAACTTTCTACATCGCGTTTTTTTGTTTTTATTGGATCACGTACTGATGGTTTCAACATAATATCTATCAACCATCGACTATTTGTTATCTCAATGTCAACCAATTCAATTTTATGCTAGCCCATACCTTGTGTTACTTTTTTTTCTATTGCCATAGTTTTATTATAATTGGGACAATAAAAACTGGTAAAAATTTCTTTCAAATACCATTAACGATTGGTCATGAGCCTATCTGGTTTGCTTGTATATTGAGGTTTGGTTTCTTTTTTAAATGATTCACTAAACCAAAATCTCTATTTTCAATGTTTGAATCTGCACATATATGTCTTAATAGAAGTCCAGCAACTTGTTTCTGGCAATACGGTTTGCAAACACTGACGTAAATTAATGAAATATAGAATATACTACTTAATTCACACAAGTAGAAATAAATAAAGTAGTTATTTTTTTTACAAGGACTTTCGTCCAGTTTACCCGAAAGATTCACGTTAGTTAGGCACTGAACATGTATAAGCTATTAAAAATGAAATTTTTTAAAAAAAATCTCAGAGAGTGGAAATAACTGGTTTAAAGTGAAACCAAAACAACAACTGAGGCCCTGGCTATTGTTTGGTAAATATCAAAAAGGTAGTTATATTGATGCTCATAAAACGAAAAATATGTGCACAAAAAAAACACCAACCTATCACGAATCTACTGTTCGTTCACTTTGTTTTATATTCTAGAGCGATGCTCTCTCAATTTTCAAAGTTGTCATTTTAATGAGTTGGTGGTGGCATATCCAATCTTGATTTTAAATCACATAACACTTCGCGTACACTGGAGCCTTTATACATTTAATTTTGTCAAGCCATCCAACTAACTTGTTTAACAGACAGTGTCATTAGGCCAGTAACATTTTATTTATATTATACTTCTATAATCATGTCGGCTTGATCATGTGTTACAGTCTGCACATATTCGTCTTATTAGCTTAAATGCTAGTTTCTCAAATCTCACTATAACTCATTGTTTCATATAATTATGTTTCTTAAATCCTACTTATTCGTTTGCATTCTCACTTTCGTTAGTATTTGCTTCTTATGTTTGGTCTTGTGACTTGCACTGTGTA